AAGAAAGCATTGAACTGATTTTCTTAAATTCACACAATTTAGGGGAAGCTGGAAAGAAATTCGTTAGTCAATATGATTGCTTGGCACAGTAATAAGTGAAGGTTAGAGGTAATGACGTTCAGTTTTGAAGCGGAAAGTTACAATTAACGTTCAATGGGAAAATGTAATTTTTGATCAGTGAGGATTTGTACTGGTTTTCTATTACAGCTATAACAAATCGCCACAAATTTAGCAGCTTAAAACAACACATATTAATTATATCACGATTTTATGGGTCAGAAGCCCTATGGATTTAACTAGTTTCTTGATTTCAAGTCTCACAAGACCAAAATAAGGTGTTGGCAGAACTATGCTTCCAGACCCATTCAAGCTGTTGGCAGAATTCAGTGCCTTGACATTGTAGAGCTGAGGTCCTGAATTCTTGTTGTCTGTCCTCTTGAGAGTTGTCTTCCTCTCACAGAAGTTTCTTTCTGGCCTTGTCCATGGGTTCCCACACAGCAGATCCAGCAATAGTTCAACTTCTGCTGTTACCATACCTCTTAGTGTGCCTTTTCTTCTGCTGCATCTCTCTGACTGAATCTTCAATATTCCTCTTCTACTTTGAAGGGTTTAAGTGATTGGTTTGGGCCTACCCACATATTTCAGAATAATCTGGTATGATTTTGCTAGTTTGAGGTCCATAAATTTCAAAATCACAGATTCTATGGATTATGGCATGGAAATATTTAGGGATTCATTATTCTGCCTAGCATAGGATTATTCTGTCTATACTACTCATTCTCAACCATTATTGTATTAAAATCATTTGAGAGGCTTGAAAAAATTCTTATCCCTGGGCCTCAATCAATATGAACTGAGTCTGAATTTCATGGAGTAAAAGCCAGACAATGATTCTCTTTTATTCAGGTCTCAGAAAATTATAGTATGCTTGAGAGGATTAAGAACATCCACAACACCAGGATTCCTCAATTTAATTAAATTCATTTTATAAGTAATCCACTCAAAACTACACTTTCTGCATACCCTCTTTATATCCCCAGTTCTGCTAGGGGAGTCACAGAGATGTATATAGTGTAAGTCCTATTTTTACTGTATTTACAATCTAGTGGCATAAATACACAAAAAAATAATTACAAAGTTACATGATAAGTTTTAGATAGATATTTGACCAACTGGTTCTGGAAGTCTAAGGCATTAATTGTGCCTGGAAACACTGCAGAATATTTTGCCTGACTTAAACTTGATAGTCTTTTTAAAAATAGTCTGGCCAGTACTGGAGACAGAGAAGCATAAGTGTGTCCAGTTTCCAGCATGGCTCAGTGAGGATAATGTATCTGTATTGTGCTTCCCAAGATTTAACAGGCGAAGAATTTCTTGGATGTCTACTAAAAATACAGATTCCCATCATCTTCTCCTTAAGACACTGGTCCAGCAATTCTGTGCAGGCGCCTGGACATTCTAACATATTCAGCAATTTCTGTTGTTGACTCTGATCCAGGTAGAGCTCTGAACTTACACTTTGAGGAACTTCGGTTCATGCTATATCAGTGACATAATAGCTCTTTATTCAATAGGCTAAAATACATTGCAAGTCCCAAACTATATCATACAAAAGGATTCACAATTTCCCTAAATCTTTAGGGAAGACCAATCCTTTATATCTGAATTTCCAACCTTTTCAAGTATTCCAAGTGTTCAGGAACATTCCAGGTCAGGATGGAGTAGGGAATTAAAACTTTAAGTAGCATTTCATTTTTAAAGAAATAAAGAAGATAGTAGTTTGTGCTAATAATTTAAAAACAAAGATAAAGTTATTAAAAACCAGACAATGAGGAACCAATACAAGGTATCCAGGCTGATGATTTTTATATTTTTTTCTCAGTGGCACAATCTATTCTACATAATGTAGGAGAGGAAGAAGTTTCCATTTGTTATATAAGTATGTACTATTGGGATCAGAGGAGAGTGCTTATTGTTTGTTTGTATTAAGAGAAATGTAACTTGTTCAATATGCCATAAGGGAAGGTGTGTAAGAGACAGGAAATAGCCTAGTTTTGCTCATAAAATGTTTAGGATACTTAATGGCAAATTCGATGTGTCTGGGAAATGTATCTATTAATCAACTTTACAGTGACTGGATAAATAAGTAGAGAAAAGAACATGGCTTAATGCATTTAAAAATCCAAGATATTTTGAAAATGAAGGAGTGCATGATAAAAGATTTATTTTTTCCCTTACTCTTGGCATGAACATACATTGTTAATATTAGGCTTGCATGACTCAACAAAAATAAAAATTATTATAGAGAAAAAATTAATGGAAGGTGTGAATAGGAATAATAAAAATTGAAGAAAGTAAAAAGACATTGGCATGCACTTACAGGCTTTGTGTTTTTTGTTCTGATATATTAGTATTGATAAAGTCACACTGATTTATAATTTCTATGTAGAATAAAATGTGGTTTTACACTGAAATGTCAAGAAGATTGCCTCCTTGAATTTATGGACTTGGAAATGTAGATCCATGAAAAATTATCTTGCAAAGATCTATGGTGATTATAAGAAATGATACAAGGTTGATGTTATATAAAGCTCTGAATGACTAAAAAGCTATAGTCCAAAAACTACTTGAATTTAAGACAGTGTTCATTTCTCAGAGTTCTTTCTGTGGTGAAATAAATTGTTTTTATGTTATGTTGGCAATTTGGGGGCCAAAAAAATGAAGACTAGAAATAAGCTATTTTTTTTATTTCCTTCGTACAGTAAAGAAAATTTTTTCACTTGTAGTAGTAGAACCAAACATTTCACTTTGTGTAATTTTGAGAACTGAATGTGAAAGTATAGGATCCATAAGGCTAGCTGTTAGAAAGAGAAAATGCTAGTAAGTAATGCTAGTGACTTGCACCATAGTGATTACAATTTTTTTTAATCAGAGCTTTCTCAATTTTGAAACACTATTCCTCTGAACAAGCCTAAGCACAGTTGAAAAAATGCACTCGCAGATGTAGACATTTAACTTGACCTCCTACATTATGTACTTGCTATCTTCCCATAATAGAATAAGAGCTACTATATTTTATATAGCATACAACTTGGTAAATAATTTCACAAAATCCGAAAGTGATTTACAAATATTTTCATGACAGATTTGGTCAGTTCATAACAAATGTATTTTAGTAAAGATAAATTTGGAATAAGAAAACACAGAGGAGAGAACCATGTTAGAGGCAGCATGCAAAGAACAAATGAGCTAATGAAGAAATACAATTAAACAATTGAGAATAATCTTGACATTACATCATGTAAGACTCGATCTACATTGGCCTTCAAATGGGTCCACAGTCATCTTATCTACATGCCTGGTCATGATACCCCCATGTTTGACCTAGAGAATTCTCGGTGAAAGGTGTTTCCTCCATGATTACCAATTATCACATGTGTCTATCAGCCAGGACATTTTGGTAAGTTCTTTGTAGAGTAGGTAACTCAAGTGCAGAAAACCCCATGTAAGTTGGACATTACATGATGTCACGGCTGGTGTAAGTGTCAAATGTGTTTACAGAAATGCCATCTGCTCTATCCTTGATAAAACCAGGAGAACAGCTGCCCCATTGATGAGGGGTGCTACAAGTTTACAAAGTTCAAAATCCAACCTTGTTCCCAGTAGTAAATTTTCCAGATCACTAGAGAATTAAGATGAAGAAGGAAAGTCATAAAAGTGGAATTATTTGTATTGATAAATATTTTGTGAGTTGAGAAGCTGTTTAAAGTATTAATGCTAGGATGATCTACTGAATACTAAGAGATATTTCACTAAGGTACATTTTGGAACTTTGATTTTTGAAGCCTATTAGATAAGCAACAAAAATAACTGCTAGTGTTGGGTGAAATGTTTTTTCAGATATTTTGGGTTTGGGAAAACACCAAAAATGTTATTGGAAGTACTATCCCCTTCCATTTTTGAGGTCACCTACGTGTGTAAGTATTGTGGTTTTTTTGTTTGTTTGTTTGTTTTTGTGGGACCCTCACCATTGGCTGGGGAACGAACCGGCGCTGCGGAGGCTGCAGGCAGCCTCACAGCCCAGCGCTCAACCGCTGCACCACCAGGGGAGGCCCTAAGTATTGTTTTATAAAAGCCTACCTGCTTCCAAATAGACTAATATTTCTTTACATTTACATATATAATATATATCAATACAAAAATGTGAACTACCACTGTTTTAAATATGAACTAAAACTGTTTTTAATTTGACTTTATGACTTCCAAAGTTATAAAGTGGTCAGTTCGTGGTCTAAGCAACCACGAACTCAAAAACTGAGTCATTTTCAGGACATTTTTTGATAAGAAAGTAAATCTGCCTATATAAGAACTATTTTTCCCAATTTTATTTGTAAATACAAATCCAAACACTGTCTATAACCTTCTAATAGAAGAAATCACAGTTAATTAATAGCTGTGATTAATGTTCTTCATTGTGTCAGATTCTAAAGTATTTTATTGTTTAGTTTTTTTCATTCATTCTTATAGCAAAAATAAATTGTCAGTTATGAAAAGTAATTATATATTGTTTCTGGCTTTGAGAACTTATAGCATCAAGGCAAATAGATATATAAAAACTAATAATAATAATACATTCCAATAAATTATTAAAGAAAAAAATAATTTAAAGGACGATTAAACTATATTTTAATTTAAAAGACTTTCATTATATTCTAGACCTTTGAAATTTACTTAAATAACACAGTTAATTGCTCTGTGTTCTAAGCATCTTAGATAAGTAAAAGTTGACGTGGTTTTACAGTTAATGGAAAACAATGCATATTTGTGACAAAACTCAAATATATTGTTAGCAAAAGATGTTTTTAAAAGTTGGACTAGCCTAATGAAAATACCATTTTAATCGTATTTCTTTGAAAATTTCAATCTATCATGGAAATTATCTTAGCTTGTTAAAATATTAAATTACTTAAATTCAATTATTACATCAATCAATATTTCAGGTCATGACCCTTGGATTTATGAAATTCTTCAAGACATTGTCAGATATGATCCAAGAGAAAATGTGATTTGAGTCTGGAGACAATTGTGCATGTAAGTATTTGGAAATTAGATTTTCTTATGGAAAATGTAATAAAAACTAAAATGTCAACTCATTAATTAGTAAATTGCAAAAAACTTTGATTCATTGTTTTCTGACTATTACAAATTTTTAATTCCATAATTAATATATTTCCTGATTTTTGGGTTATATTTTTCTCAAGATCAACTATAATAAAAACTCACTATAGCTGATAGAAGAGAAAACATTAATCAGAGGATTGCTACAATTAAAAAGAAAAACTGCTTCTAGGTGAGTCCTTGGTGAGGGAAGGGAGTGGCATAGATTCTGTGTACTAGGTAATGTTATGTCTTATTGCATGTAATAATAAAAGTAATAAACATCATATGGAAAAGATTTTTATATTTCAAATTCTAAGATTTGCTTTATTATAAAAAGTGTAACATGTTTCCTAACACAAATTAAATCTAAGTTCATAGTTCATTTTTACATCCATCGGAAATATTTTTTACATATTAAATGACTATAGTTTATATCTATAACATGATAATTTGTATCTCATACAAAATACTATCAGAGTAAGTTGTTCATGGATCTTATATTGAATAAGCAGTGTATACTTTATCTCAGCAATATCTATCTCTTAGTATTCAAAAGCTAGTGGGTGGTGTTTTAGAGACCATTTTTTTCTTTATCTCCTCTACAGAAATATTCTTAAAAGAACTTTTATTTGATATTGTTCATCTCCTCTACCTTTATTTTTTAATGTAGATGAATCTTTAATTTCCTGATTAGAAAAGTAACTGAATCTTACAGTGAATAATCATTTCTATTAAATTATAAGGACATTTGTGTGACATGAATGTTGATTCTCAAGAAACTGGTCCAAGGAAATTTCTCTCTTAAATTATTTAAATGGTATAAAAGTAAAAATGAGATTAATACTAATGAAGCATAAATAAGTTTTATAGTAAAATATGCTATCAAATTGTAAGCTTTTATGTTTTTTGAAAGTCTTCATGGTGATATTTTAATGACTTTAACCCAATTTGGTAAAGGCAAAGAAAGAAGTATGTTTTAATAATTAAAGAAAAATATTAAATATAATTTTATATAATTTTATAATATAATTTTAAATATACTTTTAAAAGAAATATATTTTAAATATATTTAAATATATAATTTTAAATATAATTTTAATATAATTTAAATATAATTTTAAAAGAAATTTTCTTTATAGGGTAGTGATCTCATAGATATTGATAGATTATAATTCTCATTTTCTATTGCAGTTTGATTTATATTGTATTCATTTTGGCTTTAATGATGGAGAAAAAGTGTATCCTGTATTTTCTGTTTTTCTTGCTTTGTTTTATGGTAAGCATAAATTCCTCTAATAAATCTTCCATCCTGATTTTTTTCCAATATATCTACAATTGATAAAGATAAATAATATGCAGTTTTTAATACATAGATGAATTATTTTTTATCAATACAGCAATAATTTATTTCCTTTCAACAGACACTTTTAGGTTTTCAATCCTTAAACAAGTTCTATGGGATGGTGGGTCAGTGTGGGGAGGCAGTGGTCAAAGTGAGGCAGGTCAATGGATGCAAGTGTGTAAAGAACATAGGTAAATAATTATAAGAGTTGGTGAAAAAAAAACACATAGTATAGCTGTACATAGTAGATAAAGTTGCAACCAGACCTATTGTCTGAATTAGATCTATTTAAAAAGCAGATTCCAACCTATTTTTTTTCCCATTCTGCCAATGGACTGACTTATAGTGCATTAATAGCAACTCAGAATCATGCCCTGCTTTTTAAAATTGAGTTCCTCACTCATTCATAGAAATAACTTGTGTGTTTCTTTGCTAGTCAATGTAAAGTTCAGGACAGTTATGTACATGAGTGTGTGGAATCAGACATGTTTCTGCACATATACATTGGGTACAGGGGGCAGGGTGTGGGAGGTAAACTAAAGTTGACTAAAAAGCAATTGATTTACTGAAGAGTCACAGGCCTCATGCATTTAATTGTATTTTTATTTACAGAAATATCATTTTCATATTTTTTCTGCCTCACATTAAAACTGACTGCACTATTATCTGATCTCATGTCTACAAGAAATTGAGAGACACAATCTCATCTAAACTGAGAGACACAAGCTCATCTAATTCTGTGCCAGCAAATAATTTCCCTGCAGCCTTTCCAAGAAACCCCTCCGCCCAAAGACTCACATAAAGAAAATCAAGAGAAATTATAAAAAGCTTAAAGGAGAAAAAAGAAGAAACACTACATCCCTGTTAACATTTGTATTTAAAAACATTCTTAAGTCTAGGAGCAATCCCAAATCTGCACTTCTGAGATGTTATCTTGGGTAAACAGAAGAGAACTCAAGAAGCAGGATTCCTGTATCTTGAGTTCACACCCTCTACTGAGTGTGCCAATGAGCAGCACACACCAACAGTTTCCCGCCTGGTATTTCTGTAAGATTACCAATCTGATTATAGTAATTTGAGAAATTATGACCATTTCTCTTAAATTTATTTGGACATCGTGTACATCCGAGTCTTCAAAAAATCATAATGAATTGAATTTGTGCAATTCTATAAAACTAATCTTGACATAAATTTCTATTTATTACTTGCAGCACAACTGCTACATAAGTCTTTATTAGGAAATTAAAACCAGTTAAAGAATAAAAGTTAAAGCTAAGTGACACTCAGGTGATGATGAAACTTGAGTGGTTTCACAGACTGAGGGAATATTAATACATAAACTTTAATAAATTCAATAGAAATCAAGAATAAAGGGACAAAATAACAGCAGAGACATGAGTGCTTACAGAAAAATAGTTCACAGAGCTTAGGCAAAAATGAAAAAGAAATAAGGTTGAAAAGAAGTTTATAGCCTCTTCATATTGCAAAATAGGGAAACATGTAATAATCAAAGTAAAAGTGAAGCATAAAACAGTGCTACTACATTGGAAGAACATAACTATATACTTTGTCCAAAACCCTCATTGCTGTGCATACAATATAAAATCCATTTTCAACATAAAAATGAACTTTGATTATCAAAATGATAAAAATGGTAACAACTTTACCATGTGATAGATAATTCCTCTCTGTTCTTGACACTGTTTTATTACATTTTACACTTAGAAAGCAGAGGCTTAGGGGATTAAGTATCTTGCCTACTTTCACAGAGTAGGTAAAAAAGTAGAGGCTGATTTTGAATACAGTTCTGTCTGTGTCCCAGAACATATCTGGAAGTTGAACTTCCCAACCCTGCCATTGATAACTTTGTTACTATCTTGAAACTGGATTTGTGGGGATATTTGTACCATGCCATGGAATTGGCAAACACTACAAATCAGGGATTTCCTCCCAAAGCCAGTTGACCATGTAACATCAGTGCCCTTAGTGATTTTCACTGTAACTCACTGTCTGCAACAGACATTTTCACCGTTCTGAAGTTTTATTTTTTTAATCCTTTAGAATTTTGTCATAGCAAAATCAGAAGAAAACCCTGATAAAATAAATCAATTGACAGTCACTAGAAATAAAATCATGACGGCTCAGTATGAATGCTATCAAAAAATCATGCAAGATCCCATTCAACAAATAGAAGGTAATCACGACTGTTGAATTTTAAAGGCAATTGATGTATCTTTAAAAGAAAACTATCCCATTATATAATTATGGAATACTTGCTGATCTTTTTGTATATGTGCATTTTAATTATTTCTTTATGAAGAATACAAGGGACATAATTTATCTTGCATCATTGAAAAGTTCTAACAAAAACATGCACATAATGCTTAATGTGTTACTGTAGTATTCTAATAATTGCCTCATGAAAATTCATTTAATTGCTACAGATTTTATATGTCTTCATTTTCAGTCTTTTTTTGCATGTTAGTGTGAACTCATTAAGACTTTATGTCTTCATGTGTAGGAAGAGGGAGCTATAATTCCTAATTTTTCTCTCCCTTGAAGGAATTTACTGCAACAGAACCTGGGATGGATGGCTGTGCTGGAATGATGTAGCTGCAGGGACTGAGTCAATGCAGCACTGCCCTGATTACTTCCAGGACTTTGATCCTTCAGGTGAAAAGCCGAAACTTATATACAGTTCTCTTTACAAAAGTCAGTTAACTAAATCACTATTTTCACTCTTCTTTTTCAATTTTATAGAAAAAGTCACAAAAATCTGTGACCAAGATGGAAACTGGTTTAGACACCCAGAAAGCAACAGAACGTGGACAAATTATACCCTGTGTAATGTTAACATACATGAGAAAGTGAAGGTATGCATAATTATAAATTCAAGTGTAATTTACACTATCAAAAAAGTTACCTACTACAGCCCTGTGAAAATTTAGTTTGTGTTCCATTCCACGTAAAACCTTTTCATAACATGCTGTGAGAAGAGCAATACAGAAAAATATCTTTGTCGAAAGAACTATTTGATTTTGTCATTAAAGTGAAGAAGCAATCCAACTAAGTAATAGTGTATTTACAAGTCAATGTTTTAGTATTGGAGTTTATATTTTTCAAAGAAAACATAAAGTATAAGGAAAAGGGATTTTTATTTGTGGAGGAGTGTCTTGAGTTATCTTCAATAATTGTGTTCAAGTAAACAAGATAACTTGGCAGGATTTAAACAATCCTGACTTGGCTGCTAGGTCACTCTAACTCACACTCCCATTTTAAACACCATGTATTAAAATCAAGGTTATTCATATTTTTCCACAACAATAAACATTTGATAGAAAATTCCTGCATATATTTGCAAGTACATGAATATAGAGGCAAGTTCACCTCGGGCATATGAAGTGGGGATGATAATAAACCCATCCTTAGGTTTTGAAAGTATTGATTAAATAGAAGGAAAATGCTTAGAAAACTAAGGAACATACAGTAAGCACTTGAAAACTGAACTGTCAGGGCCTCCCTGGTGGTGCAAGGGGTTAAGACGCAATTTATGAAACTATCCACAGCCACTGCAGCATAGTTCGATCTCTGGCCAGGGAGATACCCACATGGCGCAGCAGATCTCTCCTGCCTTGCCTGCTGCTCCCCTCAGCAGTGTATTCCAGTCAATCTGCGTGTTCTGTTCCCCACTCTGTCTCTGGTGAATTCTCTCACCCCCCACACCCCTGGCCTGCACCCCAGTTCTTGTATACATAAATAAATATTAAAAAAAAAGAAAACTGAATGGTCAGCTTTCATTTTAATCATAAATAATTTATTTTTGGCTTATTCAGAGAAGGATCTGAATAGAATTTTTAAAAATGCAAAATAAAATAAGTTACAAATATGGAGAATAGTCAAAAATCAAAGAGAAAATTAGGAGAAAGGTAGACTGCATATGTACACATTATAGACTCCTGTCAGTTATTATTAAGATTCGTCTCTGACAAACATATCTTATATTTGTCAAAGGAAAAAGAGAAACACAGTTGGGAAAGAAATCTTTATTGGTCATTTAAGTCTAAACAAAAACATATATCTATATCATCAAATAATAGTTCACTTAAGGTGTACTAAATGGTAGAATGAAATTTGTCAGTGTCCTCCAAAACATAAAGCGTTGGCTTTACTATTATGCAGCCTAGATCAAAAGAATTATTCCTTTGCAGATTTAATATATAACTTATCTAATTCTCTAAATAAAAAGGGCATACAGTTATAAGTTTTGATGTAACTTGATAAATTTGCAAAGATGTACTTCATTCCAGATATATTGAGGTATTTATTGATTTGCAAGCCAAATAGTAAAGGTATGGGAGCCTAAATTTTGTTTTTTTATGCATACAAGAACTGGGGTGTAAGTCAGAGGTGCGGGGGTGGGCGGTGAGAGGATTCACCAGAGAGAATGGGGAGCAGGACAGGAGGATCTACTGAAATACACTGCTGAAGGGAGCAGCAGGCTAGGCAGGAGAGGTCTGCTGCGCTATGTGGGTTGCTCCCTAGCCAGCTGGGGATCTAACTCATGCTACAGTGGCTGGCAATAGCTTGATAGTGCTGTCTTTTTAACTCCTGTGCCACCCAGGAGGCCCCTGGGAACCTAAGTTTTAAAAAATAAAATTTATTTTCTTTTTTTGCATTTCTACACATGTAGAATTATATTGATATTGACATGAGTTTTAAAAACTTTTTTTATTCATACGAATTACAGACGGCATTGAACTTGTTTTACCTGACTATAATTGGACATGGATTATCTATTGCATCACTGCTTATCTCACTTGGCATATTCTTTTACTTCAAGTAAGTGCATATAAAGTAATTTTCATATTTGACAATTGTCTTTGGCGAATGCAGTGTTATGTCATGTGTTGATAAAATATACAAAAATAGGTGATTTAAAATATTTAAAATAAACTGGCTATTTAAAATAAGTTGAAATATACTGACTTACCTTGATTTTGCAAATACAGAGTGAGGAAACTGATCGAATATTTTAAACCTAACTTCACAAACTTGATATACGTAAGAATAAAGTCATGTAACATGGAGGGAGCCAAAATGAATATATAAACATAACTGCATTTCATTTGGGAACTGTCAAACTGAATAAGCCTTCTTAGTTAAATTTTCAACTTCTTGGTCAATTTCACAGTTCATCATGGGAACCATAATTCTGTATAAATAATAGCAATGGCATTTCATATGTATAATTGAAAATAATAATCTAAACATATTACAGTTAGTTCACTTTTCCTGGTTTAAAGGGTCATCATTAAAATTGTTAAATTGTATGTTTAATTTTCCTTGAAACTTACTTTTTTGGAAAAGAGAGTCAGCTCCAATTTCTTTATCCAACAAATCAACAAGTGGTTTTTTTAAGGACTAGGAAAGTAAATACCAAAACATGCACCAGTATTTAGTTCATGAAAATGGTTTCCATTATTTTGATTACCAATAAGTAGAGAATGCAATGTGACAAGAATGGTTAGCTATGTTTCATTGTATCTTCATCACTATTGTTATCTTCCTCATTCTCTTCCCCCCCAACTCCTCCCCTTCCCATTCGCCCTCTTCCTTCTCGTCTTTCTTATTCTTCAATAATCTTTTTGAACCACTATTAACTTCAGAACCAGCTATAGAAATAGCACATGAAAATTAATGAAATCCAAAAATTATGAAATCATTGGATTGTTAGGTACGTAAGTAAGTGGAACACTAGCTCTTATCCCATAGTTTATCAAATACTCAGAATTCAACTAGCACATTCTTAAGATACTCAACATCATTTATTTTTGGGAATCCATGTGATAGCCTTTACTGGTACTTTTGGTTTATAATATTATCTACGTATTGATAGAAACTGACTTAAAAAAAACTCCACACTGAATAAAGTTAATTATAAGCACCACAAATGTACCAAATTAAACATTTTAAAATGTGATGTATTTTTCTTTAGTTAACTGTGTTGAAAAGATGGAAGCATTTAGTTGAAAAGATAAACATTTCTTAAAGCATTAAATTTACCATAATACTCTTTGTAGCAAGTTACCAAAGTTTCATTATTCAAACTGTCAGCTCTGTCTCTACCCTTAAAATTAATGTCTTGTTAGTTGCTTATATGCAGTTTATTAAAAAGTCATGTCTTTACTCCTGAATATGTCTTATAGAATGTTTTTTTAAAAGAATACAATCTTTGGAGTAGGAAAAAAGGAAAATAAACTGTCTTACAAAGTGATATTTTTAAATAAAGTGCTTAGGTCCACAGTGATATATTATTGATCCTAACCAACCAAGTGAACCAAGAATGCTAACAAACTTATTGGTATAACAATAAATTTCAGGAACTGAGAGATACAAAATGAAATTGAAATTTTTAATTTTCACTTGGCATAATAAAGATAACCAACTGTTTAAAAAGAGTTCTTTTCCTATTTCTCAAAGCAAAATCTTTATAATTTTTAAATACAAGGGATTTAGGTTTGAAAATATGAAACATCAAAATGATGCAAATTACCTGAAAATCTATGTAACACTCTAAAACTCAAATTTTTATCATGCAAAAGTTTTAGTTCACAAAAAAACGTATAAATAACCACACAGAGAAAACTAGCATAACTATAATATTAGCTAAGATTCTTTTTTAAGAAAAAATCTTTTTTTAAAGATTTATTTTTTACTTATACAATAGCTGGGGTACAGGCCAGAGGCACAGGAGGGTGAAAGGATTCACCAGGAACAGAGCGGGAAGCAGAACAAGCAGACAGGCAGAAAGCACTGCTGAGGGGAGCAGTGGGCATGACAGGAGAGGTCTGCCATGCAATTTGGGAATGTCCCTGGCCAGCTGGGAATCGAACCTGAGCTGCAGAGGCTGCGGACAGTTTCACAGTGCTGTGCTTAACCTTCTGTGCCAAAGGGGAGGCCCCATGGATAAAATCTTTTAATGTACAAGACTGAGAATAAAGTAGATTGGCCTCTACTTAAAGGCATAAAATAGAAACCCTAAGAGTTATTTAAGACTGTCTTATAAATCCTTGCAAAAAATGTTGTAAGTTTTGAATATTTATAACCTTAAGAAAAAGAATGTAACCCTTAAACTAAAAACAAAACAGCTATAATCTTGAGAAATTACTTCCAATTTATTTTTTAAAGTAAAAATACAAATAAGGTATGTTACTCATTTTTAATAAAGAAATATATACACACTTTAATAAAGAATATATACACACTTAATTCTAATGTTGAAACATCATAAAACAATTTGTTGTATTTTCTCAGTTTTGTTTAATATTCATTTATTTTATACAGTATTAATTGTGACATACAAATTAACTATATAACAGCTTGTAATAAATGTTACTAAAATTTATTTTTATTTATACAATAGCTGGGGTATTGTTTACATTGTATTTTCTCAATACAGTTCATTGTATTGAGAAAAGTTGATCAAATCACTCTGCCAATTATAAATACTGCTATTGCATCCACTATTTTGGAAGCAAAATCCAAAAATAAAATAAACACTAATGGACTTTTCAGAGGCTTTCCTTTCTCCAGTATATACTCTTGGTTCCTTTATCATAGATTAATTGTCCATATAAATTCATGGGTTTATTTCTGTGCTCTTAATTATATGCCATTAATCTGTGTGTCTGTTTTTTCCCTAATACCATACTATTTTGATTACTATAGCTTTGTTATAGAGTTGAAATCTAAGAGTGTGATACCTCCACTCTTCCTTTCTTTTGTCAGTATTGCTTGGCTACTCACGGTATTTTGTGGTTCCATATGAATTTCAGTTAGTTTGTTCTATTTATTTGAAGAATGACATTGAAACTTAGATAGGGATTGCATTGAATCTGTCTATTACTTTGAGTAAAATGGCCATTTTAACAATGTTAATTCTTCTAACCCACGAACAAGGCATGGCTTTCTATTTCTTTGTGTCTTCTATTTCTTTTAATACTCATAGTTTTCATCATACAGGTCTGTCACCTTTTTTAGGTTTTTTCCTTAGGTACGTACATTTTTTTCTTTGAGATGTAAATGGGATTGTTTTCTTAATTTTTTTTTCTCTTCTAGTTCATTGTTTGCTATGAGAATGCAATTTATTTTGAAACCCACTAACAAACCCTAGAAATCTGACATAAAGGTTGAGAGTCTAATGTGGTGCTAAGCAAAATATCTTCTTCAGAAAATATTCTCTATTATTGGCATTGTTACTACTCTTAATAGTTCACTAAAATATTTTATATAAATAATTAGCCTGGATAGGCATGTAATAGCACTAGATTCTTTTAAAACAATTAAAGAACATGATATCTAGCTGTATATACATAACATTTATAAATAAATAGTTAAAATGTCCATGTAGAAAAAAAATCAGACCTTGAATGAAAGATGTTTAAAACCAAATTTGTCTATAACTATGTCAGAAACTTAATTAGTAAAAATATAAAACATTTTTATGCCTACAACATGCCATGTAACTTTCTTGGTACTTGAATTCATATTAAAGAACCTATAGTCTTTGATTTAAACACATCTACTATACTCACCAGAATTATCTACTAAAACAGGAAAATCAACTAGCCACCAAAAAAAAAAAAAAAACAAAAACTATACACTAGAACAGGAAGTAATTAGACAAATATCACAAAGTTAGTTCTATGAGAGCAAGAATCATGTTTGTTTCGTTTCATTAAAAATCCCAGAACTTAACCCATAACCTTGCATAGTAGCAGGCACTAAATATAGTAGCATATTTGCATAGTAGCAGGCACTAAATATATTTTTTAATGAAGATATGAACTGACTTGGAAGCTCATTTTTAGGCCTGTTTTTCCCACAATGTATCTGTGACCATGGAGTCCCTTGAGTTTGCCTTGAATCAGTTGTTTCTATCAACAAAGAAAGGCATTAGACTAAGACTCCTAATTTTTTTTTAAAGATTTATTTATTTATACAAGCACTGGGTAAAGTCAGAAGCGCGGGAGGGTGAGAGAATTAACCAGAGACAGAGTGGGGAATAGAACAGGCAGACTGACTGACGAAGTACACTGCTGAGGGGAGCAGCGGGAGAGACAGGAGAGGTCTGCGCACCATGTGGGGCCCTCGCTAGTGGCCGGGGATCAAACCGGCGCTGCAGAGGCTGTGGGCAGCTTTGCAGCCCAGCGCTCAACTGCTGCGCCACCAAGGGAGGCTCTCCTTATAATTTTTATCAGCAGAAACATCTGTGTAAAGCAATGTAGTAGAAACTGCACCTAGACTGAAGGAAGACCAGCACCACCTCACAAAATGCTGATTTGAATGGTTAATGAAGCATGTTCACACTGAGCCAGCAGATACAGAATTTTTATTTTTCTTTCAAATAACCTAGATTCCTAGAGGAGCGATGTTTCACATAAGATCATTGTGATTTAAACAAAAATGTATCAAAATCTTCCTGCTCCCTGTTCCTTCCTGCTCTTCATTTCCTCAGACTTTTCGGTCATTCTTGCTTAGTCTTTGGTGCAGGAACATTTTCTCTTTGTTAATTGAGGGTCACTGATCCATCCTAATAAAAACCAAGAACCATGCAGCAAGTAGATTTACTGTACTGTTTATTTTTTACTTAGAGAGAGAAAAGTCTACCACTCATCCATGCTTTAAATTAGAAACAGAGAACATGAAACATTATTTACCAGATATACTTCAGTTTTATATTAAGATCAATTAAAGGAAGGAGCCAGAGGGGGAGATAAAAGAAAGGGAACAGAAAGAGAAAGAGACAGAACTTTGGAATTTGCCAAGCCCTGAGAGGC